AAAATATAATATGTTTTGTCCTTTACATATAAAGAAAACATGTAGGGTGCCATTTCTGACCTCTTCCCACATGTCTATGTGCATTACTATAACTTGGAACAAATATGTAAGAAGTCAGGTCAGAGTGACTCCAGAACCCCTAATCTGTATACTTGTTCCAGGTCAGAAGTACCTGGAAGTAGTAAAAGTCCATTGGATCAGTGAAATAACCTGGTAAAGCTAGCATTTTCAACAATGGCAGCCTACATATTTGTCTTAGTTCCGTTTTCCTTTATAAAGAAGGGATAATTCACCAGTACATATCCTACTACAACATTTAGTAAATGCCTCTCCCACTATTAACAAATGTTAGTTGCATGTGGCACATAGACATGAGTTCCACTAGGTTTTTATTATGTTAGAGTATAAAAACATGGAGGGAGCCGCTGTCACAGCAGCATGGTCGAGCGGTGAGCAGAGAGAGACGCTGGCTGTCAGATCCTGACCGAGCAGCTCTCTCCTCACTGCTCGGCCATGCTGCTGTGATAGCGGCTCCCTCCTCTGCCCCCCTCTCACCCCGTTGTCGGCTGCACTTCCTTCACTTCTCCTCGGATCCCCGCTGCATACAGATGGGGGAGAGCAGCGGGGATCCAGAGGAGAAGCCCCACGGCAGGAGGACAGGACATCACGATCTACCAGTGATCGCTTTGCGATCGACTGGTGGATCGCGTTCAACTTAATGGGCACCCATGTCCTAGATTGTTCACTTCTCCTGCCTTCTCCAAACTCTTCCCCCTTTTGTGAATAACCCCCTAAGTTTTCCTTTCGCACATTCATGCCTTTCTTCCTATTCCTTAAAATTTATACTGAATTTCTCTTGGCTCCTGGTCCCTGTGTATTGGTGGGGATTTCTATAAAAACGACAAAAACGCAAGGTATGCTATTCACAGAAATCAGATCACAATGGTCATTTGTAGATAACTTCAGAAAATAAAACCAAGCATCTTATTAGTTACTACAATTAACTTCCTATTCCTTTACCATTCCTTGATATTTAAATATAATTACTACTATTCTATATCTATTGTGTTAAGAAGATGTAAGAAAAGGAATACAATATTACCATTTTCCATTTCCTGTGATGTATGTACCACTGTTTCTTCATTTTTTGGCCTCGCTTTTGTCCCACTATGTTCTTCATCTGAGGACACAGTGTCAATTAGAATCTGGACCCTGCTATGAAGAGATTCCTGTGCTTCTGGCTTGATTTCTGGCACAATTATATTTTCAACCGAGTCTAGTATCTCTGGCTCAGAAGTTTTTGGTAGCTTGTCTTCAGGTGTAATAGATTCTACTTTAGTCTCTTGAACAGCTGGAGAAACTCTAACTGGAAGCTTTGACTTCTTTGAAGAACGACCAGTGCCACTGCTGTCCTCACTGTGTGATATTAACCCATTGCTTTCTGATAACGATACGCTTTTTGAAAGGGCAGAGCCCTTGCTTTTGGCATAGGTTGATCTTGGTAAAAAAGATGAACTTTTTCGTGGTGGAGCTACATGGACCATTTCATCTTCACTGGAAGATGCAAGTGGAATCCTTTGTGAAACATGTTTTATTCTGTGTGAATACTCAGGATGTGACCTCTCTTCATTGTTAGATTTTATGCTGGACTGTAGGGGAAGTGAGCGAGCTGGCTTTGTAGGTGGTTGCTGTAAACTTCTCATATCTGCTACTTCTTGCTCTGCTTGGCTATGTGCATTTCCAGAACTTTCAGTTCCTTTTTCCCAAAACTTCTTTAGTGACATAAACTGTCCCTTATCTAGAATGGGCTCTGGCTCTGCTTGCATCTCTTTAATTGAATGCACTTCGAAGTTTGCACTTGTTTTGACATTTTTATTGGGCTCCACATCTGGAGAGGACAATGTTGAGTGCCCTGATGCAGTACCTGACTTATCCAAATATGGAGAGACTTCTGGTTTAAGTGCTTCCTTACTTGTTTTCCTTTTTACAGGTATTTTACTTGGACTGCTTGCTTCTTGCTTTAGACTTTTTTCTGGAACAGATGTTTTTCTGCTTAATGGAATAGGTTTTTGTATGGAATGTTGGGGTGCTCGCTCTGTGAAATCTGGCAAATATTTTAACTGTTGCTCTAAAATAAAAGAAAAAGTCCAAAGCTGACAAGGGAAATGCACAATTTTAAATAATGTGATGCTTGATTATTTTGAATTCATTAACATTTTCCATTTTCACTTAAAGGTTTTATCTTTTCCATGATGACAACTTACTAGCAATGGTAACACCATATTTAGCAGATCTTACCCCACCATTATACTGCAGTCAGCCTGTATGAAAAAAGCTAGAACCGCCTACAAATTTCACATGGTGGGACAGCTATGCACACACAATCTGACCACCAAATGGGCCTTCATTTGCAAAAAAAATAGCAATCAGCAATTAGATCAAAGGAAAGAGTTGTCTAAAGGACAATTAAATCTCAAGACTTTTAAGGAATTTTGGAGCAAAACAGATTGCCCAGTGTCGGATAGCTCTGTCTCAGCTGTAGGTAATGGGTCTTCCCACAGCATAATGACCCAAAACACACAGCTAAATGACAAAACTTTGGACTATCCTATAGCGGCTTCAAATTAAATACAGCTGGAGCAGTTTACTCAAAAAGAGCAGGCCAAACTACCTGTTGACAGGTGCAGAATTCTCAATGAGAGCTACAGAAATTATTTGTTTCCAATGATTCCAATGTTTCTTTGAAGGTTGGGCAACAAAATATTAGGTTAATACCATTTTCATTTATTATAGTATTTAAAATGTTCTGTTGAATCAAAAATCACAAGCAAATTCTGATTTTGATATGGAATAAAAAATGGTTAGGTCTTGCTTTTTCATGGAAGGGTACCAACAAAGGTTTTACATCCACTTTGCAAAAGAAGCAATTACATCATCACTATGTTGCACATAGCCTGTGCAGAGATGTGGGAGGGACCCAGCAGATCCAACCACTACAGACTGCCTGTAAAACTACAGAGGGCGGTTACAAGAGCAATCATCCTAGACAAGGAGAGAGAGAGAGTAGCTGTGGTCGGTCTTTATTATAGGAAGTTCCTGCAAAGTGAGAGAGGCAGTGTGCAAAAGTTATTTAATTCTGGATTACTGCACAGTTGTGGAAGAAATGCACAGATCACATCAAGATTCAAGTAAGAGTACACATGCCTCTTGACATTAGACATCATGGGGAGATTTATCAAAACTGGAGCAGACAAAAGCAGGAGCAGTTGCCTATGGCAACCAATCAGCTTCTCTCTTCAGTTTGTTCAGTTAAGTTTTGAAAATGAAAGGTGGATGCCGATTGGTTGCCATCCAAAGCTGCTCCAGATTTTGTCTGCTCCAGTTTTGATAAATCTCCCTCTTTTCTGTTTAGCCTGGAGTTCAGCTTTCAGAATGTCCGTTCTGCAGCTGACTGTAGTGGGCGAACATTTTCTTATATGTACATATAAATATGTATATATGTAGGTCTTTCACTATAGAATGAAGCACAGTGTGCCACACGTCATATGTATTTCTTATTGCAATAACTCATCTAAACATGAGGATTACAGTGTACTATACCAGAAAATGAAGCGTAGCCTGTAGGCTGAAATGCATTACACCACACCTAGTAGATTTGAACAGTCAGTCTTTATGTAGTTAAATCCACACAAATATCTTAAGAATGAAGTATCCTCTGCATGCACATTACCTTGTTCATGTGGGCTTCTTGCATCGGTGGCTGAGAAGGCAACATCATGCATCCCCGCTGCTGTTGGAATATCATTGCTGAATCTTTTCTGTAAAATTATTACAAGGATATTTTAAAACAATACAAAGATTACAGATTAGTGATTATAAATAGTCATCAACCTGTGTTAATGCTATAACCTGAAAGGATACAACTTTCATCAATCATTGTAGGCAGTCTGAACTTTGGTATGGCACGGTGCCTGTAAAAGGTTTCAGCTGTGTAATTTTTTTCGGCTTGATCTCTTCGTATTGTTAATCCTGTCACTTCCTTTTAACCCATGATTTCTAGGTTTTGCTCTTTAATGCATGAATAACAAGCATACAAAAAAGTACAATAATCGCAAATCGTACAAGTTATATGGCCACTCCAAATTATTGAGCTCAGGTGTTCCAGTAAAAGAGTACTATTAATGCTACAGCAAACAAAGACGTTTTAGAGGATTTTCAGCTTCCAACCTAGTGGCTACAATTTGGGGAAGGCCCTTTTCAGTTCTAGCACAAGTGTACTTCTGTGGACAAAGCCAGGTCCATAAACACATGGTTTTACAAGCTTAGCTTGGAGAATCTTGAGTAGCCTGCAAAAAAGCCTTGACCACAACCATCTTAAAAAGGTTTGGCTATCACTTTGTCCTGAAATGCAGGCAGCACAAGAAGAATGCTCTTCAGGAAAAAACCTCAAACCTTGCATTTTAAATAGGATGCTTGCATAAATAGAGAGAGGTGAAATACTTCACTAACATTTACTTGTAAAAGCAAACTTGATATAAAAAAAAACATGAATACAACACAATTAAAGAGGCACACATGTACAAACTCGACTCACCTTTTCTGGTACACATTGGGTGGATGACTGAGGCTCAAAGGATGAATCTGCCATTAGCCGAGGCACGGCTTCTGATGATTCTGCTTTACATTTTCCATCTGTGGGACTGGAAGTATACAAAGAAGTGACTCTGCAGTGCAGATATGTTTTGTTTATTCCTAAGTGTCTGTTAATGCTAGGAAGAGCAGATTTTGCAAACGGCTATCTAAATGGACAAACATGTAGTAGCTCTGCTCTTGTAATAAGTCTATACTCATATTTATATGTATCATTTCCTGTAGGCTATCAGTGTGGTATTCCATAAGCACTGATTTGAAACTATATGTGCATTCATTCTAAACTAAATGTGCCAATAGTTATGAGATGGACATTGCCAATAATGAAGATTAAGGCACACATAGACCTACAATACTAGTGTGAAGACCTACACAATTTCAAGGTAAAGGTTCTTTTGTCAAAGAAAGATCATTTGAAGACCTCTTTTAGACATATGTTTCCAGAAAATTGTTGAAAGAGTATTTTTTAGTTACTTTTTATCTAGATCATCTTTTTTGCGTATCTATATAGTACTGTTATCATAATTGAACATATGAACCCAGTAAACGCATTCCTTTCCTATACCTGGTGCCATTGTTTTGCCATTACCTGGCAATGTTTCAGATACATTTAGCAAACAATTTTTGAGAAATAAAATAAACTTTTAAGAAACAATGCCTACAAGAGGAAGTCAGAACATCAGGTCTTAGATTTATGCATACTTACATTGTGGCAAGCTGAACCAACCATCTTTAAAGGTCATGCAACCTTGGCCTAAGAACCTGGGCACAAACTGGCTATGCTTGAAAAGTTTGAACCGTCTTGGTCTCTTAAAAAGATAAACTCCATATTGTATGTGGAAATCATGCAATTAATTAGTTTTGATTACTAAGAACTGATAGTCAATTGTGTTTTATATTGTTCAGACTCATCTTTTCTTTGTGATGGCCCCCTGATGTTTTGCATTCAAACTCAAGTTTTCTTGAGAATGATAATGGGGTTAGTCGGACTCTTTACCATCTAGGAAAAGTTAACAACACTTGGCAGTTCCTGACTAATAGGGTTCTCCAAAGCAAGCAAAAAACACTAGTACCTTTTTAGTGTTTTGTCAGCACTCAGCCTTTTCACATAGCAGCAGGCTTCCACAGCAGAGGAAGTGAGAGAGAACCCTGAGCATCAGTCTGCTCACATATATAAAGGCTAGTGCATACCTAAGACTGAAATTTGGCAAACAGGTAAGATGTGGACCGAGGAAGGGGTCTACAAAGCCTCTGGGCTCCATGACCCAAAAGTTAACTTATTAAGATTCTAAGAAAAGAAAATGTGCGTTTTCACCATATCAGTCATAAACTCTGAACCTTAGTCTGACACCAACACAAGATATGGAATGCTAAACACAACCTCTGAACAGGAAGAACATCATAAAGAGTAAACATGGCATCCATGTAGAACAGCAAACTTCAAAGTAACCAATCTGTTTGAAAATATCAATCCAGTAGCTCCAAACTGTTCAGTGTAGTTTGGTACATTTTTAAGGAAATCTAACTTATTTCAGTTCAGACTTTCAGAAGATATTAAACGATGCAAAACCACATAGATTTAAAGCACCGTCAGTGGAGCTGAACAATAGCAGTAGGTAAAGAGCCTGTGGTAAGTATTATAGATGGTGTGTTCTGACCTTTAAGAATGTGTGTTTGCTTTTGTTTGTTTAGTCAATCTGTTATATAGAGTGAACCCACTATGTGGAAAACAAACCCTGCGATCAATAATGATATCTTAGTCAAAGTCTGAATTCTCCCATTTTCCCATGATATTTCCAATACAGTGCATAACTACGTGACTTGCCTGACGTCCACTCTACATGGTCAGCTTTACGTGGGGGAGCCCACACAAAAGGACTCAGGACTGTATATCACAAACAAAGCAACAACGAGATGCCAGTGTTCTGCCGTTTCTTGGGCATGCCACATTTAGACGCTGACCTTAGTTAGCTTCCTGGTCCTGGAACTCATGTCACCAACAAGGCAAGGGATTGAAGACATATATGAGACACAAAGTAAGACAGGGCTTAAACCATGGCTTATTTTCTTTTCGATATTCGATTTTTCATCCTTTAATGTGTGTGTGTCAGGTTTTATACATTCTATTGTGTATGTATTGAAGTTCTGTTCTTCAACTTACGTTGGTTAGTCACTGTAGCAGCTTTGACACCGATAACTTTGCATTTTGCAAATCTACATGATTGCCATGGTTACTTTCTTTCATGTGCCCTCTATTCAGAGGTTGTGCGAGGTTGCTTAGAGCCTGTGGAAGAGCCTAGATGATCTGAAGATTGCCATGTATTAAAAAAAGTTCTTATATACAGTTTGCTAGATGAAATGACATTTTAGAAATTCCTTTAGATAGTGATACTATATCAGATAGTGATACTTTGTGATGTTTTTCAAGGAGACATGTGCACTTTAATAGCGCAATGCATAACAAGGATGGAAAAAGTGCAGCCAACCAGATTTCAGTTTACTATACTGCAATTGGTAAACACTGACCTTCGAGTTCCTTGAGCAACAGGATCTGCACTTGCAGCCACGTTCCATATTTCCTCTTTGCTAATGTTGCCTCTTCGTGAATCTGCCAAAAAAAGTTAATTCAACCTTTTACTGCAACAATTTAACTACAAATTATGTAAAAGCAAAGTGAGCAATTTTTATGCATATTTGTTTTCCCTTTGTTTAGAGTAACAAAGTCTGAACATTTTAAGTTCCAACATTTAAATGTGTTTACATTTGTCATTTTGAAAAAGTGACATATTGACAGACAGATGTTACAAGTAAACTAAATACACAAACACAGCTGCACTTTTATTTCTTTAGAGTAGATCTGAACTCAAAATGTGAAGAAACCTGTGTTGTAGGGAAAATTTAGAAAACAGGATATTGTGCGTAAGCAGAACCTTGAAAATGTATCTTTTGTCTGGAATCCCTACTGATAAATATAAGTGCAGTAGCCACTTCCCTATATGCAAGTGTGCCTGGGCACTCCTGTGCCTACAGGTTCATATCTGTATATCTGCAGTGTGAGATCTAAGGCACTGCTGTCTCTTACTGCTAGTCACTACTATGCTGCTCATGGTTCTCCTAGCTGGATGCTCTGACATGAAGAAAAAGCTCTGCCTCTACCAAGATAGCCATCTTCATACAAAGACACATGCAGAACAAGGCAAGGTAAGTCAGTAATGGGCTAATGCTGGTGACTAGTCCTTTGCTCTCTGTCTGCCTTTTTGGGGCACTGATCCAGAGTCCAGTTAGTCTTGAAGCCACACTCCAGGCGAAATGATAATGTATGCACTGCTTGTAAATAATCATTAAAAAGCTGGGTTTTAGGAGGAGTGAGTAGAGTGCTCCAGTCGCATCACCTGCCCCTCCTCACTATCGTTGTGATGTTCTGTGATTGGAGGAGAGATGTCACACCCCCTGTCCTCCAATCACAGATTGCCTTGTATTCTTGCGGTAAGGGTTTGGTAAATGTCACAGTCATTGTTCTATAAATAAGCCCCTTAGAATGTTTCCTTTCAGAAAGCCAGTGTCATGGGTGCACCCTGTATTGAATATCAGTTAGTAAAATATACAATATATACAAATACATATACACAATATATACAAAACACAAAAAAAATCTTACACATTGGTTCAACACTTTTAAACAAAAAGTCTCTTCCTTTAAAAATAAAGGTTGCTCTTTGGTAAGTGGTGCAACAAGTAAAAGTGTTTACCACAGACTTTAATGGGCGCACCTCAAAAACACACAACACACTTTTTTTGTATGATTTTTGTGGCCAACAGCCATCTTCTCCTTTTAGTAATGAGCTTTCTATTGGCTGAGACAAAAACGCTCAAGCCTGCAAAATGTGCAAAAAACAAAAAAAGCTTCATACAAAGCTTCAAAATCACCTGACAACATGGACAGTGTTATGAAAAACTGCTTGGCTATAAAATCAATCTCTCAGGATTCCATTGTAAACAAGTATATCAATTTAGACCTGGTACGGCCCTTGAAACTCACAGATTGATATTTAGAGAAGAAAGTGTTAAATAGATTGGGGCTTTAGAAATCAACTAATCGATATTGTCTTGAGATGCAATTCTTTGTTAGGATTTGATGCTTTTTGCATTTTCTGTTATGTTACTATGAACGGTACTGTTATATTCTAGTTTCCTAAATTTTCATACAAAAACTTTGGAAGACTATCATTTATATGATGCAACCTTTTGGTGGCCTGCTGATGAGGGCCTAATTGAAGATTCTTTTGTACCTGTTATTATGAAAAATTATGATAAAATATGTTTAAAAAAAAAAAAGAACCTCTCTGCTATTTACCGTCGATAGGCAGAGAGACTGACTACTGTATATTTAATGCTATTGAGCTCCATAGATGACAACTCTCCGTGTGACATCAGTAAACGTTTCCGGACATGTTCTTACTGAACCTCATCCACTCCAGGACTTGGTTTTAGCCACTTCCTGTTTCAAGAGAAAGTCACCTAATGCGGGTAAACATAGGAGGAGACGGACACATGGAATGAACGCAGAGAAGTGGTTTGGGCTGGCACTGTCCCAGCCTGTATTAGAAAATGCAAACTATTGAAGAGAATAAAGCAATTAGTTGTCACTGTATAATGTGTAAATACTGAACATATGGGAAAAATACCCACAGGCAATGTAAAAATGTGAAGTCAAATGTTATTCTGTTATTTAAAGTGGGACTCCAAAAATAGGTACAAAAGGGTAAAAAAAAAAAAAAACTTTAATTATTATTGGTATCATTAACTGTGTTGTATTAGGGAATACCGTAGATATGAAGACGTTTTTGGGCTGCTTTCTGGTTTTTTGTATTTCTTATTTCAGGAATGATAGTGACTGGAGTTGCTGGCCAGAGGTAGAATATGAGACTACTACAGCGTGGTAGTTGCGGCTGTCACTATGCAGAACATTTGTTAAGCAGAAAGTGGATTGGTGACTCTACTTTTGGAGGGAAACCAACTGTCCAATGATTGTCTCCACTCCCCTTAATATATCCTGTCAATGAGGCAGTGGTCAGTTACCTCAGGGAATTCAAACTTTTACCTGTACACTTGTCCCTCCCTCCCTCCTTTTAGTTATTCCTTTGTCATGGTCACACTTTACGTGATAATGTCACAGTGTAAAGTAAATGGACAGTGTGTCTGATTATGGGTGGTAGCTTGAGCCTTAAAGACTAAGCGGTTTTCATCAGTTTATGGTTTCCATGGTTATTTCTGTCTGTCATTTAAGTTTATTTCATGAAAGTTTTTACAAATTTCAATTGTAACCCAATAAAAGGGTCCGCGGCATATATATTTGCTAATGCTTTGGTTTGTTGTATTCATATTTATTCAATGTGATGTTTTATATTTGGGGTAAGGGTGGCTTATGGGGCATACAATCCCATGCGGCCATGCTGTGAGCACCAAATGGCTTTTCACACAAATGATCTTTATACAATAAAGACTGACTGGTGGAATCCAACACAGCCGATCAATTTTGTCACCCAAGAAGGCTCAGTCAGGGGTTGCCTTTACAAACGCTAGATCCTTTCACCGATCCAATACAGTTTCCTGAATCAGGCTAAATCAATCCTGTGTCTGTAGGCACCTGTATATAACAGTCTATAATGTATTTCCTTTTTATGGTTAATGTGCTGCCTTCTGCCACATGCTTGAATCCTGTCTGAACTCTGTGTGCTACCTTATCACTAGACCCAACCAGAGCCTACATGCCTCAGATCTGCATTATACATAACAAATTTAAACATTGAATGACGGCAACATTAATTTTGCCAACATAAAGCAATTTCTAGACAGAAAACCAATGTCACACTTACTATTTTTCTCAGTATATTATTGGGGTTAATTTTGCTTTCACAGAACATGTTGTGAGCTTTAGAAAGTAACTTTGTTTGAACTGTATGTGTGTGGCGATGTAGCCATCATTTGGCGGTGTTCTAAAACTTTAGAATGATTATATGAGATCACATGACCTTCCTCCAGGAGGCAAGCCTCACTCTGAAACTTCATCCACTGATATCTTACCGGAAAGGTTTACTCAGAGTAAACCTTTCAGGGAGAAAATGCCTCTCTCGCGGACGTCAGGGAGCCGCTATCTAAAAGAGGGAGACTCCCTGAACATCAGGGAGACTTGAGATCCCTGCCTATACCTTATAAATTGACAACCACTGGTCTAAAACAAGAAATAGATATTGGCACAGGACATTTCAGAGATCAATATAGGAAAGAAAACATTTTTATGTCAAAATAGTGGGGGTTCGCTTTATTTTCTCCTTAAGGATCTGTTTTCATGGGTATTTGAGTTGTTTTTGCAACATCAACTTGTGTGGGGGAAAAAAAAAAGTAAAAAATAGCATTTATGGAATCATCTGTACTTCATACAGCGCACAGATCATGCAATACAGCTGTTGGTGCTCGAAGTGACAACACGGATGGCGCCGTGCCACAGTCCAATTAGTAATGAAAGTTGCCAGCTCTCGTTTGTAATGTGCAAGAAGCATAAGCAATTTTATTGATACATCACATGCGTCGTAAAGCTTTACGACGCATGAATAAAAGTGCTTATGCTTCTTGCATATCACAAACGAGGGCTGGTGACTTTCATTACTGATGGGAAAAAAAGTAAAAACGAACACTGTTACACAAGCTCTTACAAGTAGACTACGCACACAGAGACTGGGTTACTCTAAGTAAGCAAAAGGAACTTACTCTGAGTTGGACTCTTCTTTCGGATTGATGCTCTAAGCAGATCCGGGCCTTGTAGATCCTCTTGGAATCGGCGAGACTTCACATCATGAAACCACTCTCCAGTTACAAACTTTTTCTTCTTTTCATCTCTGATTGACCCTTGAACAAGTCTAATAAATAAAAGGATCAATTATTGCTCACCACACTTTTCAGCTTCATCTCACTTTAGAGCTATATATAGACACAGACACATTTAGGTTTATTGTCTCGCTGGATATCCCAGCAGCACTTTAGCTGCAGTTTATAGACTGACTATGACTTCATATTCTCCTTTTCCAAAGACTGATCATGCGTTCAATAATAACAAGGTACCTAGGTCCTGTAGCAGTAAAAAAAAAAAAAAACAATCCCAAGATTATGATACCATTACCTGTTTGTTTGATTGTTAGTAGGTTCCTTTTTCATGCATCCTTAGAAACACTGTGGTCCTGCGTTTGTCCAGTACTGCCATCGCTGTAATAGTTATGGAAGCAGCAAAGCACCCTTCAGCACCAGTTTGGGAATGTTATAATCACGGATCTTAATGGGGGTGCTGTCACATTAAACAAGCTGCAACAATTCTTCAGCAGGCTATCAACAAGCTTCAAGTAGTGCTGACGTAAACCCGAAAGCTGGCCATACACTGCTTAGATTTTTGAAAGAACTTTCGTATGAAAGATCTTTCATTTCAACTTCCTTTTAGTTGATGTTGTGAAGAAAAAGGGATGGGATGACATTTTTTTCTCGAATGAACAAAACTCTAACAGTGAATGTGGTTTTCATTCAGGGAATGCCATTCATTCCAAAAATGAGTGTTATAATCAAACAAAATTTTAATCGACATTCGTCAAGTGTCTGATGGCATTATCGGGGGGTAAAGAAAGATCTTTCATAAGAACATTCGTTCGAAAATCTACTAGTGTATGGCCAGCTTAACAATGAACCTCTCTCATTGGTTACCTTTTGTTCTGTTAAATACACCATTGGAAGCATTTTGTTATATCTGTTTGATAAGTACAAAAAAAAAATCTATTATTAATCCTGTCTGAAATTTAGAGCAATCCTGTGACCTCTACTCACTTCCTGTGTTATCTGAAAGAGTCCTAGTTTTTATCTTTGACTACAGAATGATTAGCCTTTATCTTGTAGAGATCCAAGTATGGGAATGGTTGAATAGTTTAGCAAAAGACACTGAGCAGGGCTGACGCCAGTAAGCCAAAAAAATGGTGCATGTTGTTCGCACACACTCCAAGCAAAAGTGTTTGTAACCCTTGCAGTGGGGCTACCCCCCGCACTGCAAGGGTCATGTGCTTGTTTTTTTCTAGGCGCAAGAAAAATCCTGTCACCTTCTCTGCTGCAGTGATGCTATGTCCCTTGGGGTCCTCACGTCCTATACACTGTGTATAGAACGTGACAAATGGAGGATCCTTAGACGGTGGAGTGGAGGGGGAAAGAAGCTCCAGGGACTGGTCAAAGAGCAAGCTGGCTCCAGGGACTGGGTGAGTATAACTTTTTTTTGTTCACTAGTTCTGCTTTAAGGTCTTGTTCACACCAAGCGCGGAGCAGGTGCAGAGCAGATCAGTTGCAGACCGGATCAAAACTGCGTCCAATGTATTCCAATGGTATTTTTTGCTCCAGTTCACATCGCAGCGTGCAGTTGCAGAGCAGATCCAGAGCAGGTGAAAAAACTGCAGCAGGCCCTATTTTACCTGCTCTGGATCTGCTCTGGAACGCATCAAAAACGCATGCAAATACCTGGAACCCACTGAAAGCCCATTTTAAACTAAAAAAATAAACAAAATTGTAACCAAAAATAGCCCGAAACGCATAAAAAATGCATCAAAAAATGCATCAAAAGCACATCTAAAAGACTAGCGTGCGTGTGCAGAAACCTGACCGGATCTGCTCTGCATTTGGTGTGAACAAGGCCTAAGAGCTGTGTGCATTTCTGGCAGATTAACAGGTAGTTTTCTGTACTTGCAAGGTTTTCAATGGGATGAAAATTGTGAAAATGTGCATGTTTTGCAGAGATGAACTGCAAATGGTTTCTATATTTGTCCTGACATAAGCTTTAAGATCAATGTTTACCATTCCCAAACTGGAGCTGGATGGCACTTTTAATGCTTCAACAACACTTATTAAAAGCTCTGCAAATGCTTTGTAAAAGCTTGCTATTCCCACTACCCTTATACTGAAGCTAGGGTAAAAAAGGCCTAAGAATATGTGCTTTGTTAACTTGCCTGTTTCTGCTAAGGGTTTAAAGTAGGGATGTCCCAATACCGATGCTAGCATCGGAATCGGGCCCGATACAGGGCATTTTGACAAGTACTTGTACTTGTCAAAATGTCCCGATACATAGCGCCGAAGCTTGCGCTATGTTTTGTTTTTTTCTTACCTCGCCGAGCGTCGAGTCACTGCTGCTCCGGTGGGCAGCACTCCAAGTGGGGACCTGATTTAGGTGGCCGGAGACTGCCAGATGACCCCGCTCGGAGCGCCGCCCACCAGAACAGCAGTGACGCAACGATCGGCGATGTAAGTAAGAAGAAAAAAAACCTGCAGCGGCCAGTCAGTGCTGGTCCGGCGAGAGGAGCTCCAGGTGGGGTTCTAATTTAGTTGGCTGACACCTCTGAGCCAGCTAAATTAGAACGCCACCTGGAGCTCCTCCCACCGGACCAGCGCTGACTCGTCGCTGCTCTCTCCGGTGTCCGAACACAGTGAGGGCAGATTAGGGGGGGGGGCACTATTAAGCAGAGTATAATTGTAAATGTATTGTCTGCACTGTATTAGCAGTATATACTCTACATGTACTACATATAGAGTATATATAGAGTACACACTGCTAATACAGTGCAGACAATACATTTACAATTATACTCTGCTAACATGAATGGATTAAATGATCTGTATGTAGCCCTGTACTAGGGATCATTTAACCCATTCATGTTAGCAGAATATAATTGTAAATGTATTATTGCAGGCACTCTATATGTACTGTACATGTACTACCGTATTTGCCGGCATATAAGACGGGTTTTTAGACCCAAAAACATCACCCGATAATCGGGGGTCATCTTATACGCCGGATATACTGTATCTAGCTTCGGTATACCGCGCTGAGCCAATCACTCAAAGCCTGTATTAATGAATACAAAGCCTGTATTAATGAATACAAAGCCTGCCGTTATAGGCTCAGCACGGTATACTGTATGTAGTTGAAGGACGGAACCGGAAGATTGAGGACACTGAGGGGATCGTGGACAAGGTAAGAGACTGTAATCCCGAGTGTGGCTCGGGGTTACCGCTTATGGTACTGAAAAGTAACCCGAGCCACACTCGGGAATACCGCCATGGATGTTACTGGGTGCATTTAAACATTATTTTGGGCTATACTCGTCTTATACGACGAGTATAGCACAAAACCTATATTTTAAACACAAAAAGTAGGGGGTTGTCTTATACGCCCAGTCGCCTTATACGGCGGCAAATACGGTATATACTACATATAGAATGCACTGCAACAAATAGATTTACAATTATCCCCTGCTAAAATGAATGGGTTAAATGATCCATAGTACATATGTAGCCCTGTACTACGGATCATTTAACCCATTCATGTTAGCAGGGGATCATTGTAAATCTATTGCTGCAATGTACGGGACATTTGTGCTATATATGTACAATACATATAGAATACACTGCAGCAATAGATATTTGGGCCTGAAAAAGTGGCATCGGGACATCCCTAGTTTAAAGCCACCATAGATTGGGATTACAGTGGACCTGTTAATATGTATCCATATCAAGTGTCTGGAAAAACCGCTCTTTTCATCAGATAAATTCGATTTAGCCTGATAAACATGTGAAAATGAGCCTAGATTTCCAGGGGTAGGGTTAGGTAGTTATGAAATATTCATACGCCATATTTAATATTTATCTGATTAAAAGATTGAAAACATTAATCCTAAATGTAATAATTAATAAAAAAACACACTTAAAAACAAGATATATCTTTCCTTGAAGCAGTTGAAAAGTAGCTGGCTAAATAATAGGCTTGTTCACACCAGCAACCACGCTCAACCACATGGCTGCCAGTGTGCATGTGCCCGAACAGTGCCAATGCACTCGATCAAGCTGCATAGCACTTTTTTTTGTTAGAACTTTTTTGAAATGGCACAAGTTTGGAATGGCTGCAATGATGTTGTACCACGTCTCACTGTGGTGCACTTAGAAAAAGTATTGCATGCTGTACTTTAAGTGCACACCACTGCAATGCGGTGATGTAAACTGTGCCCACCCATGACAGGGCAAAATGCCCTGTCTTGCATTCGGGCTGCTCTGGAAAAAATGGCAAGCACATCCCGAAAACATATGGTGTGAACGGGCCCTTTCTCTGCGTTCATTGGAGGACATAGCTCTGCTTTAGATAATCACTGGGAATATTGGCATCTGCAGGAGTAGAACACTGGAGCTGGTGGACACGACCCCCTTCACAGATGTGGACTTCTCAGTTACATAGCACATCAGGCCAAATAACAAGTACTAAAGTATTTACACATAAGAGCAGCAGCAAGCCAGAGAGGCGGGTGCTGTTTCCTCCAATGAATGCAGAGAAAAGGTTTTTGCAGTGAGTACAATATATGGCATTTTCTCTTTCATTCATTGAAGAACACAGACCTAATTTCGATATCCACCAATGGAGACGTCCCAAAGCAGTGCCACAATGGGACAGGCAGGGAATGGAAAGGAACATCAGACTAACTGACTAAAGGAATAATAAAATAAGCCAGTCAAACCGCCGCTTGCAAAACCTTACGTCCAATACTGGCTTCAACACTGCCTCATTGTAAAAAACTTGGTGAATGTATGAGCTGACGACCAAGTGGCCACATTACAAACCTGAAATAATTGAGGCCTGATCGAGGGCAACCCAGAACCTATCGCCCTCGTAGAATGCAGTGTAACCAGAAACAGTAGTTATTGGTGCTTGATGCCATACACTTGGACCATGGTTTGCTGGATCCAGCATGAGATCGTTGCAGTTGACAATGTAAAACCCTTATCTGGGCCCTCTACCACCATGAACAGGAAGTCTGTCCTACAAAACCCATCTGTTACATCAAATACTCTCTAACTGCCCTGACTGCAACCAAGGAATGTAAGGCCACTTACTTAGGATTGCCTGGCTTAGGACACAATGATGGAAGCACAAAGTCCATGTTCATGTGGAATGCTTATAACACTTTCAGCAAGGAGAGTCTTGCAGGGCTATTCACAAAAGGGTGAAACGTTTGGAGAAGGCAGGAGAAGTGAACAATCTTGACCAAAATAGATGATTTGGAAAAAATTTCCAGTTCAGCTACGTTGTCCTAGATTGTTCACTTCTCCTGCCTTCTCCAAACTCTTCAACCTTTTGTGAATAACCCTGTTGGATGCAGGATGACTTTATCCTCATGAATCACCAAATATAGAGGTTTGCAGAACAACAGTGCTGGTTCATATACCCTGCAGGGCTGGCCACTAGGAAAGCGACTTTTAAAATGTTTTTTTTTTTTTTTACAATACCCAAAATACCAAGACTGCCAACACTGACACCTGGTCAGCCTGTGCTCCACTCTGTGCTGGAGAAAAGCCAAGAAGACACGCAACTGAGAAAGAACAAGGGAATACCTCTAGGAATTCACCCCTTGCAAAATATGCTTTCCACCTATGATGATAAATCTCATGAGACTAATTTCGAGACGCTAGGCTAATAACCAAGTTGTTCAGAGCTGTGAAGAGGGTTTTGACCACCAGCAGGGTCCTCCACTTGGACTGATAGTGCACCTATCATTCTACTCTTGCAGGTGGTGATATGCCCAGTCAGTGGACCAGATGGTGGAGGTCCCAACTAGGAAAAATGCCATCCTAGATTTAATCATTACTAATAAAGCGGTGGAGGAATATGTCATTCCTCCACAGGCTGTAAAACAAGACCCAGGACTATTAAGTATGTGGGGAATGACAAATTGTATGTAAATCCTAATATCTCTTATGTGTTCACTTTTGGTCTGTAGATATATCATTGAAAGTATTTTATTATAGTACTGTCAGACCTACCCAGTTCACCTCTGAACTACACCCCCTCCACTACCATGTTATAGAGATAAGGAGGTATTTCATAGTCCTAACACACTTTCTGTCCTAGCTGCTTTTTTATAGATACAGTATGAGTGAGTGCTTTCACCCTAGGATGCCAAGAGTGTTATTGGCAGGATCACCAGGTAAAAAAAAAAAAAATCTTAAAATAATTATACAGCCATCACATCTAAGAAATGGTAAGCTGCAGTATGTTACATTATTGCTCCTGAGTTTAGATTGAGCTCCCATAATGGCCTTATACATTGGGAATTAAAAAATAAAATACCATACAAATATTAATAAGTCAGTGGCCAACAATAAAGTCAGTGTCCATTTCAGTGTAATCAAATATACTGCAAATGGTAACGGCAAATGGTATTCAGGTAAGAAGAGCAAACAGCAATGCTGAGATACAAAGTACAGTTTCCAATGGAAAGCAAACAAGTCTTAAAATAGTAAATAAACCCCAATGTAGCTTCATTTATCACAAATTACCTGATGCGGTCATGGTCTTTCTTCTGCAAGTCAGCATCCCTCTGCAGGACTTTCATGAGCTTTTCATACTCCTCATCAGTTAAGAAACTGAGGTCCAGCATGGTGTCCGAGCTATTCTTCATCATATGCACAGCAGAATAAACTTCTTTAAATCTTGCTTGCACAATTCAGTCATGGAGTATTTCCTAGGATAGCTCCTAAGTAAAATAAACTCAGTATGAGCGGAACATGTGGAAATTTGGCTGCTTCATCTTCTCAATTTAGTTTTGATCCAAAAGTAATGAAAGATAATTTCCAGGCACTTTCTCCGGTGCAGTCACTGTGTTTCCATGTAACATGAACACACTACAGTGGTCCCCATTGTCCTCCAGCATTAGCCTTTAGGGTCCCCAGCAGACGTCAGCCTTTTTACCTGTGAACAGAACAAGTATTGCCGTAAGCTATGCTGCTTCCTGCACAGAGAAAAATACAGATTTTTTAATAGATTCAGATCAACATGACATATGGCAAGCGAATGTGTACATTGGGGGTGGATATTTGTTAACTGCTAGAAGTTCCAAAGAAAGCTGCAGTATCCTGCTTCTTGTAATGGTGCTGGCAAGCACACCTATGGTAACTGCATGCAGTGATATCAGCCCATTCAAAACGGAGCACACGGGAAAAACAAACATTGAAAGACCAGGGACATGGGTTAGAAGAAATATAACTGTGCAAACACTAATCATAGGACTTGTTAGCGGAGTAAGGCAGAGGTCATTTATCAAATTCCAAGGTTGCCCATGCTTTTGTTCAGAAAATGACCTCACAGACGAACTAAGAAAAACAGTTAAAGTCCGGTAGGATTGTTATTAACACCGACAGCTTATTACCAGTTCATACGTCTTCCTGACACTTCTCTACAGAGTAGCAAAGTTTTAGTGGGAGTGACTACCTGCCCTACCACTTTCCTTTAACTTCAGCTACAGTGATATTTTTTTTAGTAATCTCTTAGCTCATCAGAGCCTGCGGGCACAGCCTGCAGTATATCATAAGTAACCCCTTTGTAGACATACCGTCATGACAAACAGTGTTTTGGTAAAGATCCCGAGAACTGCAGCTAAACAACCTTACCCTGCCAACTTTTCTGAAATCTTTCTATTGGGGGGTAAGAAAAGGAACCTTTGGAGCATGCTGTAAATACCAAAACAATACATTTAACTCCAATTCATCAGTGTCAAATTCTCTTTAACATTTCTTAAATCTACACAAATTATTACTAGAAAAGCGATGAAAGAGAACCAACATTATTGATCATGACAACTTGTACAGATTTATTATAATAGAATCATTTTAAAAGATGACATATTTACTTTTAATTGCTTTTTGTTAAAAGTGGGTAGCTATTCCTAGACCACCTCATATCATGCTTCCCTTACCCGAAATCAGACAACAAGGGATGCATACTACAAGGCCTTCTTCAGGATTATGTTTACGTATTGCATGCTGCCAATCATGTCTACCTAAAGAGGCCCTGACTATTCATTTATTCCCATAAGATATGTGCATTTAAGGTATTTTTATGGTAAGGTATTTTATGCATTTACCTGTAAGAATCCACATTGTGAAGACATTCAAAAGCCCTGAGACTGCTTCTGGGTGCTGCAATCTTGGATGTGATGTCAGTAGCCCCAGCAGACTCAGAGCTGTGACTCAAGTGACACTCTATAGCAGCGGTTCTCAACCTGTGGGTCGGGACCCCTTCGATTTGCCAGGGGTCGCCCGGGAGTCTCCTGCTATTAGATAGTGGCTCCCGGCCGCCTGGGAGAGAAACACTTTCTCCCGAGCAAAGTAAACCTTTTTTATCTGACATTGGGGGCCGCAGGCCGCCGTAAGTCAGAAAAAAAACCACGACCCTAGGAATGCATAGCTAGATTCCTATTGGCTATTTCACTTTGCAAGTTCTCCATCAGGTCCCCACTACTGATTGACAGCAGCAGAGGGCGGGTGCAATAGCTAGTTTGCTATTGGCTATTGCAAAGTGAAATAGCCAATAGGAATCTAGCTATGCATTCCTAGGATGTTTTTTTTTTATTATTCTGACGGTTCTCAAGCTGCCGGTTGCTGTGTGATTTCTGCTGTGCTAGGTGAGAGTCCTCCTCAGCCCTCTCCTAGCGCAGCAGTGTCAGTTCTCCCGCCACGCTGCAGCAGCCGCGTCATTCCTAAATTTTAAGGTTGGGGGGTCACCACAACTTGGCAAATGTTACCAAGGGGTCCCGGCCCTAGAAAGGTTGAGAACCACTGCTCTATAGTATTCCGCTTTGCTTCTCCCCTGCTAGCTACATAAAACGTTATACAGGGAGTAGAGGGGAGAGATGGAGTACCTCTGTGAGCACAGACACTAATTAGACACTTCCAAAATAAAAGAGGGCTATAACATGCAAGGAGGGAGGGGCCTGTGCTAGGGAATTGACTCTCCTGCAGTAGTCAAATTTTCTAGCAAGTTCAAAGGCATACTGCATGAATACTGTGAATAAAAATCATGTTTTTCCTGTGCAGAAAAAATATGTACACACTTTCAAAACACACATGGGTCAACTGCTAGTTGCAAAATTAGAAGTCTGTATTAAAAAGATAATTGAACCTAAATTTTTGTTTGTCGTGTATTACTTGATATGGGTTGCTTAAACAATTCAAACAGTTAATCTCACAATTCATATCATTCGGATAATTGTTTAGAACATGCAAGATCTCACTTAAATCCTAATCTAGCTAATCCAGTTTGCTTTCCTTTTCACTACTGTTAATCTTTGTATGAGAGCATGGGGAGACTTCTAGTAAAGAAGGAAGATGGCCTTTGTAGACCCCAACATTCCCCAGTAATATCAAATTCAGTAAAAAGCAGCGCTCTATGACAACCATTTCTTCTTGTACATTTGGATTCTTCATTGATGGGCTGGATGAGTGCTTGAACCGCCCTTCATTCAAGCATAAAGCAATAACCGGGAACTACATATCCATGCAAACAAAGCTATCACATTGCTACAGTGGGCTAATCAGCAAATGTTAGTGGGAGTATCCAGGGCATTCTATCTTTCTAACAGACATCCCTGGACTTGCTCATCCATATTTAGAGGCAAAAACCAGCAGACAATTCCAAGAGACTCAAAGTAATGGCTCTGAGGCGTAGTAACATATTTACAGCCCGGACGTGTGCTCAAAAGAGATGAGAATCCACACCAGTGCAGCGGCCACTCTAAAAAAGCTTTACTGGTGTAAATTAAGACTTTTTTGGTAAATGTACACAAATACGTCTAAAATCAATATACTACCAGATGCATTATCTTGCTAATCAAATATATACACTATATTACCAAAAGTATTGGGACACCCCTTCAAATCATTGAATTCCGGTGTTCCGTGAAATTTCCTTGCTACTAAATACTTTGCGGTCAACTGTTAGTGGTATTATACCAAAGTGAAAGCAACTGGGACAACAGCAACTCAGCCACCAAGTGGTAGGCCACGTAAAATGACAGAACGGGGTCAGCGCTTGCTGAAGTGCACAGTGCGCAGAAGTCGCCAACTGTTTGCAGAGTCAATAGTTACAGACCTCCAAACTTTGTGTGGCCTTCAGATTGGCATAACAAGAGTGTGTAGAGGGCTTCATGGAATGGGTTTCCATGGCCGAGCAGCTGCATCCAAGCTTTACATCACCAAGTGCAATGCAAAGCGTTGGATGCAGTGGTGTAAAGCACGCCACCACTGGACTGCAGAGAAGTGGAGACGTGTTCTATGTAGTGACGAATCACGCTTCTCTGTCTGGCAATCCGATTGACGTGTCTGGGTTTGGCAGTTGCCTGGAGAACGGTACTTGCCTGACTGCATTGTGCCAAGTGTAGAGTTTGGTGGAGGGGGGATTATGGTGTGGGGTTGTTTTTCAGGGGTTGGGCTTGGACCCTTTGTTCCAGTGAAGGGAACTCTTAAGGCATCAGCATACCAAGACATTTTGGACAATTTCATGCTCCCAACTTTGTGGGAACAGTTTGGGGATGGCCCCTTCCTGTTTCAACATGACTGTGCACCAGTGCGCAAAGCAAGGTCCATAAAGACATGGATGAGTGAGTTTGGGGTGGAGAAGCTTGACTGGCCTGCGCAGAGTTCTGACCTCAACCCGATAGAACACCTTTGGGATGCATTAGAGTGGAGACTGCAAGCCAGGCCTTCTCGTCCAACATCAGTACCTGACCTCACAAATGCACTTCTGGAAGAATGGTCAAACATTCCCATAGACACACTCCTAAACATTGTGGGCAGCCTTCCCCGAAGAGTTGAAGCTGTTATAGCGGCAAAGGGTGGGCCAACTCAATATTGAACCCTACGGACTAATGGGATACCATTAAAGTTCATGTGTGTGTAAAGGCAGGCGTCCCAATACTTTTGGTAATATAGTGTATATTGTAACAAAATAGCAACCATTCACCTTCCCAACGGTCATTTCTGCAGTACAGAATTGTAAATGAAATAAGCTTTACATTTTCTTGTTAGGAAACTCTTTATACATGAGGCCCACATTATAAGTTTACAAGAACAGTATCCATAATCAATAGTATGATTAGGAAACAGTTAAATTTAAAGCAAATCTGTATTTTCCTCCTAATAGGCAAAGTAAAATGTTCACTAGAGAGTAGACCCCATTAGGTGACTAAACACACCCGCCCGTGTTTGACCCTCACTGTCCTGCCCTACAGTGGCCAATCACCAGGGCCAAACATTGTCACATGAAGAGCTGTCTGAGCTCCATTTGGATATTGACATTTTTTAAAGCCAAAACCTCATCATCTTCAATTTGGATGGTATAGGAAATATTTAGATCCCCTCTCAAGTTTTTTCAACATCTGAGTTTCACTGGGGAAATGTACTTTACTTGTAGATGCAACAGGAAATGAGGAAATCTCCCAAAGTTAGAGAAATGTCGCTTTAGACAGTTGTCACCTTAACAATTGTCCTACCTTAGAAGTTTCCCTTCTATCCCTGTTATGATGGCAACTGAACTTTCTCCCACTTTCAGAGCCTGTGACAATGACCACCAGAAGAAATATGAAGGGTGATTCTGCCAAATGAGGCACATACAGCAATACAAAACCTGACAGGACTGTTCTCCTCTCACCACTCTATCCAAAATGTTTTGGCTTTAGATACACTTTAACATGCACCCCCCTTTACAATCTGAAATGGAGTTGAACCATTGCACTGTATTTTCTATGTTTGACATGTGTGCATCAATCATGAGGTTTTTTGTGTTGTATGCTTACATTGGATCTCTAGATAGCTGAAACAAGTACAGAGCCAGAAAATAAAAAAGGCATTAGACCCTGTACCTTCCAGTTCTACTATCTTGGGTTATGGGATGACAAACTTTCCAATCATTTTCAC